TTAAATGCTTATCTTCACAAGTTTATTTAGAACCATGTCCTTGGAATAGACCTGGTAATGGATTTGTAGGGTTTTTTTTGAGTTTTGAAATTGATAACTTTTTGGGATTGGAATAATGAAATAATGATTGTGGATTTAAGTGAAGAAAACAAAAGCTTTTTTAAAAACAATACAAATGAAAATAAAGTTGAAGATATTAAGACAAAATTTAAGAATTTAAGAGAAAACAGATTAATGTTCATAGGAAATAGTAATAGTGGAAGTATATAGAGAATTGATTCTAATAGTATAAGTTTTATTAAAATTGGATCAGTGGTTCAAAAGTTATTAGCAAAAATATGAATTTTACTAGTATAATATTCTTTCTTACTTAGATTTGAATTTCATGAAAATAATTAAATGTTAATAATCTGTATATATCATTTGGGTTTTGTTCTGTGCATTCATGCCAGGCACTATGTTCAATAACACCATATCGGAATTTGCAGTATTAGTTCTCTAATTGATTTGAAGTTTTATCATTCACTGACCTTTTTTGTTGTTTTATGACTCATATTGATCCAACATCAGATAATAATAATGTTTAATACGAGGTTTATAGAGACTTACTGTATAAGCTTAACTTGGGTTTTTATGAATAATGGTATATCCTTTTCACGCTATAGAACTGCTATAGAACAATAGAACTGCTATAGAACTTCTATAGAACTGCTATAGAACTCCTATAGAACTGCTATAGAGAAGAGTTAGCAATAGTAATAATGTCATTGTTCCTAATTTCAGTAATAATTGTATAATTCCTTATTCGCGTTAAGAGATTAAGAGATTAAGAGATTTAGGATTGAGATAATAAAAATGTCATTGTTCCTAGTTCGGTAAGTTTGTATTATACTTTACTTTGATTTTCCGTAATTAACAATTATAAAATAATGTTTTGAGTCTAATGGTACAGTATCTGCTTTACCAATTGTTCAGAGTGTAATGAAGCTCTAATAGAGAAATAATGGTAAAGACTTTTGTATATGTATATAGTTATTAAAAGAAATTAATGGATCAAACTGAATTTTCAAAGAATAAATACTCCGGACTTTAATTTCTACATAATTTTCAAGTCAATATATATTTGTAGGTTTATGTATAGAATTTTCAACTAATAATATGCGCGTAATGCGTTGTCTTTGAGCATTCATGCTACCAAATATGGATATATTTAAAAAAGCCTTTTACGCCGAAAATTTTCAGAGAGCATTTAAACTTCTTTACGAATAATTCTAAACTTCTCCTACATCGTATATCTTATTAATAAGTCTTTAAATGTTAATATTATTATTATTACAGGAAAACTACCAATCTGGAAAATTCCATATAAATAATTATAAAATTATAGTAATTTTAAACTAATTTTAGATTTTTTTTACTATTTTTACTGAATAATAAAAAATGCTCTGGAATTAATAGATGTTCGAACTGTATACGACGAAATTTAGAATGTATATACGTGAAATCGAACAAAAAAAGAGGTCCTTTGCCAAAATCTGACAGACCAACACTGACCACTCCAGATATTTCAAATTTGATTAATTGAAATTTTTTTTTTTTTGGAGGATTTACAAATTTCTTATTAAACTACATTTATTAAATTTTTATATAAGCTATACATTTTATGTAACTCAAAATATTCTATTTCTACTAATTTACTATTCTAGTTTTAGCTATAAGATTATAATTTTCCCTCCTATTACCAAACATTAAACATTATGATTATTTTTCTTGAATGTTATTGATCATTAATTACCTTTATATATTTGTGATTTTATAAATTTAATTGCAATTTTGAATTTTCTCACTTTTTGATTTACAAAAATTATATGCTATAAAAATATTGTGTTAAATTTTATTATCATTTACTATCTATCTATCTATCTATCGTTTGAGCATTACATAAGTAAATTTGTATTTCTGAAAAAAAAAAAAAATTTATCAATAACTGAATATTATTCCTGGACACAATTAACATTACTATCTATGAAAGATTAGATAATTGGTGCTATAATATATTCTTGCCAGTGTGATAAAAATCTTTAAGAAAAATATAAATAAAAAGAATTGAGTTACCAGATAGAAAAAACTCCGGTAGTTTTTCAAAACAAATATTATA